TAGAGTTTTTCTTTCTCTTCATTTTCAACCGAGTAAATAGGTTTTTTGGAACGCCTCCAAAAACACATTTATTTAATTGGATAGTCAGAATTGTCGGAATAGACTAGAAATAATTATTACGTTGCAAAAAATAATAAATAGTTGTAAAATGATACATTTATTAAACGTAAAATACTATACGGGACTCAGTTTTCACCTTTTCGATAAGTTAAAAGATACGAAGGGTGTCGAAAAATGCAACATTCCTAATTCCCACTGTATTTCAGAAACCAAGCCTAGGAGAAATCTGTCTGTAACAGTTTTATTTCAAAAAGTAGTATAGCGATGTGAAAACAGCATCTTTGTATCTCTACTCATAAACCAGAAAGCATATAAAACACACGAAAGTGGGACGCCCTGTATACCTTCACCCTTGTGATGAACTAAATCCAATCAATTGTTTACTTAATCGAATGAAAGCCAGTATACAATAAAATGCCAAACATCTGACAAATGAAAATTAATTAGAATCAAATAGAATTTATAAATAATATTATAAAATACTCAATAGCTCATAATTATTGCATAGTTAGTAAGCCAAAAGGAGATAATTCAATTATTAATAATAAAATTTCGATTACTAAAAACATTTTTGACAATATAGGATATTTTATTTACTATATCATTTGGTAAATTCATATTTTAATATTTCCAAATTAACAAATAAAATATTAAAATTTAATTAACAGCATTTTCAAATAAAATTCTGGTATTATATTTCGTTCACCTCTTTTGTTTTTCTTCAGAAAATACATAGGTAGTCAATTAATTTAAATATGCTCTGTCTAGGCTGAAAATAACTTTATTCTACACGAAAAGATTGTATTGTTCTTTTCATTCCCATAACGATATTGCTGAACAGTAATTGGCTATTTCCTGCGTCATGAAATAAAATATCAAAATTTCCTACACTCGGTTTGATTAGTTTATTACTTTATTATTGCAGACTATTAGGTAATAGCATAAAATAGGACTCGCCAAATCTGCCTCTCGAAATATACAGAGTGTCCCCGATTATGGACCAAATTGTACTAGCATATTCCATGATTTCAAATAAAAAATTGTACAATATCACTAGTTTCCTTTACTAAAGAAGTCATTTTTCCTAAAAGTTTATCTAAGAGTGCTAACTATTTAATAGTGAGATATAAATAAATGCATTCTCGTACTGAGCTATATTAACACGATGTAAAAATGTTTGTACAGGGTGGGTCAAATTGGACGCTTTTGAAAGGAAACACCCTTTTCTATAGGAGATAGACGAAAACTAATATCGGTGTCTGGAGCTCAATTTTGATCAAAAACATGATGGTGAAAACCGCACATCGATATCTATTACCGTTTTGGAGCTACAGGGTGTTTTTGAAAAATGTGCATTTTTAACAAATCGCTGTAACTTTTTTGCTATGAAAAATTTTGTATTTCTATGAAAACATTTCCAAAGCACCTTTTCACGTAGAATTTAATGGTTTAAATACATATTTTTTTTAAATAATTATTTAAGAGTTATCAATAGAAAAATTGATTTTTTATTTGGGACACCCTGTATATATATATATATATATATATATATATATATATATATATATATATATAATCTCCTTAGAAGAATTAGAAGTACTTATCGAATCTCTCCAAGAATTAGAAGTACTTAGCGTTATGCGAGGGTATCTTTATGTAATGAGTTGCGAGAAATGTTCAAAAACGGCCCCGTCTGTCCATAACAGAAGACGGTTGATATGTCGAACACCTGTAGCAAAATTTCATGTGTCTGTTGGCTATTTATTTTTATTGTTATTAGATAATAGTTTAAAAGTGTTGATGTTGTTAAATATAGTTTAAATTGTTATAAAATTCTGCATCTCTCATTGGGCACTATATGATACTATATCCAGTGACTTACGCACCATTAAGTCTTGGTGTGATTCCTCCTATGCCTCAACCTATCAAAAACTAAAGTTTTGTCATATAGTACTATACAATCTTTTGTACTTAATAACACTACTATTGACGTCGTGGAATCTGTGAAATTCTTAGGACTTCTTGTAGACAACTCGTTAAAATGGGACTTTCACATTGAAGCTCTATCAAAGAAACTAAGCGCTGCCTGTTTTGCGCTAAGATCAGTTTCTAAGGAACTTAACTTCTCAACCTCTAGAATAGCCTATTATGCCCTTTTTGAGTCACATCTTCGTTATGCCCTTCCATTCTGGGGTACTTGCTGCGCAACAAAATTTGATCGTGTTTTCATACTTCAAAAGAGAGCAGTTCGATATTTATTGGGACTGAACAGTAGAACTCACTGCCAGAATTTCTTTAAAAATTTGAAAATACTGACTCTTCCTTCTTTATTCATTTTTGAATCCGTTTGCTTAATCCGCAAGCACATATCTGCTATTCCCGAAAGGCCATCTCATAACTATCCACTTAGGAATGCAGAGCACGATCTTTATCTGCCAACCCCGAGCTCAGAACTAGTTAAGGGTTCAATACTGTACAATGCCAAAAAAATGTACAATCATCTGCCTTTGAATATCAAATCGCTTTCATTCTTTCCCGCATTTCGCAAAGCTCTAAAATCATACCTACTGGAGAGAGCCCTATATGCGGTAAACGACTTTTTTGTTGATGTTTAATTATGAACAATTTTGAATTTTAAAATTTTGATCATTTCACACACTGGTCAAAGGTCAAGTATTGAATATTTTATAACTTTAAAATTATATCTATTTACTGCGTACTGTTCTAAAATTGTCCATGTATATTCTTTTTGTAATTTTAAAGACTTAAATTTTTTTGAATTGTATTATTTGTATTGTGTATTTTTTGTTGTTTGTATTTTTTTGTGATTTTGTTGTTTGTGAGTGCTTTGTCGATGAAGCTGTTTTGGCTTTTTGTACAATAAAGCGTTGTTTGTTTGTTTGCAAATATTATTTTCGTTTTAATTGCTGCTCACAGCTAGAATTTTTTTGCATTACATCCGGCGCCGTTCAAAGCCTAATTATTCAAAGTGGGCGAATTTTTATACACTCTATATCTCGAAGAGGAATCGAGAAAAATATCAAGTGTGCTATATTTTTGGAAAGGTAATTTTAATTTTTTTTTCAATTAATTAAATATATACAGGGTGTCCCGAGGGGTGTCTCACTATTGGAATTACATGTACATTTTCGTGGCAGTCGCTGGCAGTCATTGGCAGTCTTACTGCAGTCGCCTATAGTAATTACATGGCAGTCATAGGCAGTCTTCTTCGCAGTCATTGGCAGTCGCTTGCGAGTAACATGATATTTTGGCAGTACATTTTTGACCCAAGTGAGACACCCCTCGGGGTGTCCCATATAAAAGATCAATTTTTCTGTTGATAACTCTTAAAAAATTAACTTAAAACAAATTATACTTCAACCATTAAATTCTACGTAAAAAGGTGCTTTGGAAATATTTTCATAAAAATACAAAATTTTCTACAGCAAAAAAGTTACAGCGATTTGTTAAAAATGCACATTTTTGAAAAACACCCCGTAACTCCGAAACGGTAACAGATATCGATGTGCGGTTTTCACCATCATGTTTTTGATTAAAATTGAGCTCTAGACACCGATATTAGTTTTCGTCTATCTCCTATTGAAAAGGGTGGTTCCCTTTAAAAGCGTCCAATTTGACCCACCCTGTACACAAACATCAAAGTTAGATCAAAATTCGAAAATTCCAACCAAATTTTCATTTGAACATTTCAACAAGGTTGCATTTTATTCCATAAAATATGGTATATTCCCCAATACTCTTCAATAAAGGTTTCAAAATAAGCAGTTTTTAAGCAAAAGTGCCAGCCCACCAATGGATAGGAGGTAATGAAACAGCAAACGATCTAGCTAGAAAAGGAGAACACTCCACTAGCTGGATCAGAACCATTCTGCTTCCCAAATGGAAATCAACTTAAAGCAGAACTCAAGAACCTGGAAGACTCCATCCGTAACCTAGAATGGGAATCCTCCAACGGTCTAAGACACTCAAAGAAATTTCTCAGGACGACAGAGAAAAATGAAAGATTTTTCTTGATTTAAGCAAGAACAATCTTCGACTCTGTTAAAAGCTGTCTTGAATCCTGAATATCTCCTGAATAAACATCTCAGTAGATTGAAGCTAAGAAACAACGGCGAATGCAGATTCTGTAGGGAAATGGGGAAACACCAGAACACCTTATCAATGAGTATGCCTAGAGGGCTACCCTTCGTGCCGTAAACTTTAGTACGACTAATATCGAAGATAGAGAACCAACCTCTGTAAAACAGTCTCATATACTGGCTTTTGTCAAAGCTCTGAGACTGTATGACGAGTTATAACTCAATGCCTATCTCTAATTTTAATAATATATTAAAATTTATTATAAAACAAGGTCTTCTTTATGAAAAAATATATACCTATTGTGTTTTACTAGGGTTCTCAATATTCTGGTAGACTTCGGTCAACAAAATTATGGACACACTGTATGACAACAATGTTAACGACAATTGTCAGTTAGACCAAACGGAATATGTCGTTAACAATAAAAAAAACAAAATTTGTTACATTTTAATTGGCAAAAATTAACGCTATTTTGGTGTCAACTTTTTTATTACAATAATTTAAATTACCGCTAAGGACATTGTATTAATAGCGGTTTTTAAAGAGGCGATTAAATTATACTGAATATTTCTCAGACACTGGAATAATATTTCTTGGAAACAACAAACTAAAGCTTATAAAAAATGACGTAAAATAAAATGTTATACTGTAGAAATTAAGAAAAAAAATAGTTTATATTACAAATTACATATATACTGCAAAAAGAATTGACATTTTTAAACATTTTTCTTAGTGCACTACCAAATTACTTAAGCAGTTAAAATGAAATATGAGTTTTGTTGGCGCCTTGATGTTTTAATTAAGCATAAAAAAGTCGAAAGGATATAACAGCTACTTACTTTTTGTCGGTGTTTAAAAACGTATCAAACTCCACTGACATCTTGCAGCAAAGTGCTTTTCTGTTGTGAGAAGATGAGCAGTTGGTATTGATCATATGCCCATCTGAAAAGAAAAGAAAAAAATAATTTAAAGTGCAGTTCCAAAACTGAATAAAACGACAACATAAAATATCGTTTAATTGTATTAATGTAATATCGTTTAATTGTATTAATATTATATACAGGGTGAGTTTCCTACGATGTTCTCTATGGGTATCTCGGAAACTACTGGAGATAGAGAATAGAGAGTCGGTTAAATGGGGAAAGAATTGCAGTTTTGTGGAGCCATAAATATGCGCCCTTCAGATTTTTGAAAAAGTTCATGGTTTACTAGATATATGGAAAAGAAACAAATTTCGGATATTTAAAAATTGTCCCTAATTCCATTATAAGCTATTTTAGACAAAAAGTTTTCAGATAAAAGTTGTAGATAATCACATCCTTAATGAGATTGTGTCTTCCGCTTTTTTTCTAAAACCTGCCATTTTTTGACATATGATACAAACATATGTTTTTTTATAAATGAAAACCATAGTTGGTCATGACTTCATAAAAAGCGCCATTTTTTAGGCTTTTTAGCGGTATAGCTATAATATTTATGTTTTCTTCAAAAATTTGCTGAGTTATAGTCAATTCTTATCATTTTTAAACAATTTCACTTAGTTAGCCATGGAAACAAGTTCAATTGCCGTTGCTCTCAGAAATGTGAAGCTGTCACATCGAAACTTTGTAAAATAAAATAAACAAAAACTGAATTTTTAATAAAATAAATTACTAAATATGAATTTTTCAAATAAATAAAAGGGTGTAGATACTCGCGCATCAATAGAGTGGTTCCAACATGACTTTAATTATGACCCCCCCCCCCATAATGAAAGAAATGTTAAAAATTATTTATATTATAATTATGCAAACTCAGGGATAGGAAGAGGTGGATCAACTGCATAGGCCTCCTCGATCACCTGACCTATCCATTTTAGATTTTTTTTATGCGGTATGGTTAACAATAAGGTTTACAAAAGACCTTATGAATTAAGAGAGGCACTCAAAGTGGCGGTATGAGAGAAGTTTAATTAAGTCGACCGGTCCTTCTGTGAAAGTAGTAATTCAGTTTTAAAAAGATGTACTTCAAATAACTTAAAGTGTATGTAGTGATATTATTTTTTTTAAGTTTTAGTTTGTGTAAAAACTGTAAAGAACCGTTTAGTAATATATTCTTTTTATTTTTATAAGACTTTTTATAAGTTATAAATCATAACAGAATAAGAATACCATACAATCGTCAAGAAAGATAAGAATTGGCTACAGCTAAATTTAACTTCCATAACATGTCTTGAAAACCGTTCTCTAAAAAATGTAACATTCACCTGTCAACGTATCCTTGAAAATGTATGGTCAAGAAAAGTTGAACCAATTCCTACACGCTTTTCTTCATTTGAAAAATTCATATTTACAATTTTTGTTTATTTTAATTTGTAAAGTTTGGATGTGACAGCTTCACATTTATGAGAGCAAAGGTGATTAAACTTGTTTCCATGGCTAAGTGAAAAAAATTTTTTTTTTAATTTTCAAAGTAAAATCTTAGTTATTTTGAACATATTTGAAAAACGGTAAAAAAAATATTTTTTATTGATATCTAAAAGGCCTTAAAACATTTGCACTTGTATACAACGAAGAAAGAATTGATAATAATAGATATTTATTTAAAATTATAAACGACAACCAATCTATTACAGGTTTTCCTCAGATTGATATTGAAAAACCTAAGTAAATTAAATAAAGAAAAAACTACATCATCAAAGAGCTTAATTTTCAGGAAAGTTAATAAAATACAAAGGGCTTACCAGACGAATTTTTCTTAACCATCGACTTACAGAAAACCTGCTTTTGTCAAATTAATGGAGATACTTATATAATTAATGGAGTAAAGCAGGTCATTTAAAGCTTAATTTACTGGGTAAATTGCCTCGAAAACGCCAAAGGATTAAATATTCATAGAACAGGCGTCTTTTTTTTTTGTTAGCATTTTATCTGAGCATGACTACCCCCAGGCTATGGTTTTCGTAAATGATATCTTTACCGGGAAATTAAAATAAGTATAGGTTAATAACGATCCAAGAAAAAATGTAATTAAAATGCTGCTAAAAACAAAGTTTTTTCAAATAATGACTGTTTTATGTTCATAAAATATACTGCAGTAAATATTTTTAGTAAAAAATTATTAGAATATATCTTCATGTAAAAATTTTAATGCAAAAATAAAAAAAAATTGACATTTTCACTTAAAACAAAATTGTATTTTAAATGTCAATCTAGAGTGCCATGGCTGTGTTAAAAACAATCAAGGAAATCAAGGAGCCTCGGAAAAATAGATGTGATCGTCTAATGTTTTTAGTGTCTTGTCCCGGCCGGTTAAAAGATTCCCAAGTCGTATTTTTAATCATATCTCAATTTTCTGAAAATGGAACGAGGGTGTGCTCATTAGCATATTTGGAAAAGGCATTTTTTTACGAATAATTTAGTACCGCATACACTTGGTATTTCGAGTTAAATGAATCGCACGTTGCGATTTCAAATAAACCATATTCGGAAATGTCAAAAGTTGACATATGATGTGTCATTCTATTCAGAGTGTCATTTCTTCAGTTTTTTTTTATCGAATAAAGTAACAAAATACCGAGGGTGCCATTTAAAAATCAAAAGTTATAGTCATTTCCGGTGAAACAGGAAATGACCGAAAACAATTGAATACGTTAATCAATCCTAAATAAACCAAATATCGTTTTTTATCTGAAAAAATAAAAAAGTTATAGAAGTGAGCCACTTTTGATTGTTCTTTCTTTTATGTTTCATTTGAATTAAAAATTATTAGAAAAACTATTTATTTAAAGATTTCCGATGCAGAAAGTGCCTCTATCACAATCTACTATAAAAAAGCAAGACTTGCAAAAATCTTGGGCAAGACTATAACTAAGACCAAGACTGGACCCTGCAAGACTAAGAATAACACTAAGACTACTTATTAATTGTAATACCAAGACCAAGAGCAAGGTAGTCTTGGGCTTAGTCTTTCACTTGCTAATTTCTACATATAAAGTACAAAATTAGACAAGAAAATTAAAACTATTTTATTGATAGATCATACTTGATTGATCATATTACCTTATTAATTACTATAATAGTACCGCCGTTTGTGTAGTGCATTAACTTCAAATTCTCTCGAGTAATTTGATTTACAGCGTTTCTAGATGTCTTTTTCAATCTTGTGAAATTAAGGAAAAAAAGAAAGCAACAAAACACTAAGGAAAATGAAAAAAAAATATTGTGGAATTGCGAAGAGCAAGCCTAATCCAATTTCTCTTTTGTTCTAAGCCAAGACGAGATATTTAAGTCCCTTGGGAAGCAGAATAAAAGAATTTTTATGGTTCTATAATTTTCTACAATCACAACAATTTACAGCAGTCTGCTAACATATTTCTTTGAGAATTCCAAATCACTTGAGAGAAATATCTTCGAGTTCTGCGAACGAAATAATCTGGAAGTAAAAGTTTCCGTATTGCAACAATGTAGGAAAGAAAATATTTTCTATTTTTTTTATCTATTTCCTGGGGTATAGTGTGCATATACTAAATAAAAAATACGACGTCCTCATTATTAATTCATTCAACAGTATTTAATGCAACCGATTGATATAATTTCATATCTGTTGTTACCAATGTAACTTTTATTAAATTTTATTTTTTTGATTGTCTCCAAATCTGTTCAGACGACAGTAGCAGTTGTAACTGTCCCCCAAGCTGGAACTCAAGTTTATAGGAACTTTTTCAATATTTTTTTAATGAGGAATCAGTGAGTACTTATTTAAAACATTTACAAGTTAATGATATTATTTTTTTTAAAGTTGCTATTAGACTTGGATCAAGGCAAATTAATAAAAATGCTTTATCTCATAAAATAATATAATCAATTTATCTCATATAGAAGACCGAAATCGACAAAGTATCAAAAGACAAATTTTAATAGGCATTAAACTGCTTATACTATTTCGCTAACAAGAGAAAAAAGTCAGTAGCGTACATTTTTTTAGAAAAATATTACAGTGATAACCCATATGCACATCTCTGTTGAATACTTCGACACTTTTTTAGCTTTAAAATATGTCCCATTTATAGTAACTTTTTCCCTCAAAATTTCATTCGAAACGCTAAAAGTGCTTGGAAGAAAATTATAATAAATCAAAAAAATATTAGAACTATATCTGAAGTACGAAACGTAAGAACCCTGTAGTTACGAAACAATGCAGAATCGGACCTTTGTTGATATGTAAAATATATCTTTTTTACGTGAGAAATCTGCCCATAAATCGAACATGTTTTTGAAACACCCTCTATATCGTCAAAACATGGCAAAATTTCTTCTGAATAATTTTTAAACATATTTAACAGGCTCCTTCAGGTTCTGCTCGAATACTCAATTTATTATTATTCCTGAGGGGTAAACGCATAAAGCAGACTTCACGACTTTCTGCCCGCTCGCCTATCTGCATCGCTATCATAACGTTCCGGTATAACTCTAGTTGTTCGCGACCGTAGGAAGGACGCGGCGGCTAGCGAAAAGGAAAAAAGAACAAAAGGGATTGAAACAGTCGTTTCCTGAGTACGCGATCGCCTTTTGCTCGCAGGTGCTCTCCTCCACGCTCGAGTGGGCGCATAAATTTCGCCACTTGGGGCTATTTCTTTGTATTGCGACCGTTAATAGTGCGGTCGCGCGATGTTGCGCTTCTTTTATCGCTCCACCCGATCGCGCGGATATATCGCGTCCACCGCAGGGTCCACCACGTCTTCCGAAAAGATTGACGTACGCCGTCCGTACGTCAATCCTAGATCATAATCATATCATAGTCGTATAACCCTAGATCATAATAAAGAAAGGTAACCCTTCGTCTCTTCCAGGACAGGAATACATTATTTTTTCCTTCCATCTTTGTCGTTCGTATAACGTTTTATTTCTCTGTAGGTAGTGACGAAATTGAAACGCTGCGCGCTGAACCTTCTTATAAGTAAT